ACCTTCATGGGGAGCACCAGCGGCGGAATGGGGGAAGTGGCAGCGGGTATGTATCCCACAATCACACCTACATACCCCACTCAATCACACACATGCACCCATATACTCGACGCATGGCCCTCATGCACAACATGAAACCTACACATCCCATGCAGCGCTCACCTTCACGGGGAGCACCCGAGGCGGAGTGGGGGGGAGTGGCGGAGGGCGAGCGTCATGAGGGGCGTGCGCTCACCACATACGTACCCCATGCAATCACACACATGCACCCCATAGAATCACACACATGCACCCCATAGAATCACACACATGCACCCCATAGAATCACACACATGCACCCCATAGAATCACACACATGCACCCCATAGAATCACACACATGCACCCCATAGAATTACACACATGCACCCCATAGAATCACACCATGCACCCCATAGAATCACACCATGCACCCCATAGAATCACACCATGCACCCCATAGAATCACACCATGCACCCCATAGAATCACACCATGCACCCCTCACCTTCACGGGGAGCACCCGAGGCGGAGTGGGGGGGAGTGGCGGAGGGCGTGTATTGAGGGGAGACCAGGGAGGGCGTCATGAGGGGCGTGCGCTGCTTGCTGCTGCCCATGTTGCTGCCCGTTGGGATTGCAATGCTGGGCGGCCTGGGGGCTGAGATGCAAAAGGGGTATAGGATGAGGTGGCAACTAGTCAGCATGCGAGTAGATTGGTGCTGCCTGCTGCTGCCCATGTTGCTGCTTGTTGGAATTGCAATGCTGGGCGGCCTGGGGGCTGAAACAAGAGAAAAGAAGGATGCGAGGGGTATGGGATGAGAGGGAAACTAGTCAGCATGCATGCATGCAGGTTGCTGCTGCTTGATGCTCATGTTATTGCACATTGTCAGTCTTTGGTGCATTTGGAAAGAGAGGGGTCTGAATAGGAGATAATGAGGGTTTGAGAGAAACGAAGAGGAGAGAGAGGGGCTGAATAGGAGATAATGAGGGCTTGAGAGAAACGAAGAGGAGAGAGAGGGGCTGAATAGGAGATAATGAGGGCTTACTAGTCTCTGCTGCAGCTGGCGTCGGCGTCTGATTGGCTGGCTTGGCCTTGTCCCCGGCATTGCTGTCCGCATCTAATTGGTCGGGAGCATGCAGCGAGGGTGGGAGAGAGGAGCAGCAGATGGCAGATGAGCACACTAATGGCACACTAATGGCACACTAATGGCACACTAATGGCACACTAATGGCACACTAGTGGCACACTAATGCCACACTAGTGGCACAATAGTGGCACATAACAGATGGCACATAACAGATGGCACATGGTAGGCAGATGAGCGTAAATGGTCCTTCCCTCCGCCTTCCTCCCTCCCTGCCCCTCTGCCCCTCTGTCCCCTTCCTCATACTCACCAGAGGCAGCAGTGGTGTGTGTTCTCCACCCACCCCTCTCCCTCCTGTCTCTTCATCCCCACGCTTAACAAAAGCGCCTTCCTCAGCTGGTTACTCCTCCTCGACCCACGCACTGCCCACTTGCCCCTATCTCTGCTATCTCTTCATCCCCACGCTCACCAGAAGCGCTGTCGCCAGTCTGCAGCAGAAGGCCCGCTACCAGCAAAGGCAATGGGGGTCGTCACTTCTCCCCCCGAGCGCATTCCCTTCCTCCTTTCTGTCGATCCTCTCACCAGAAGCACTGTCACCATGCTGCTTTGCAGCAAAAGCCCCACTAGCAGCAGAGGCATTGAGAGTTGTCACTTGGCCCTTGTCCCACGCACTTCCCATGTGAGAGTAATCCTTTCCTTCTGACTTTCTCTCCTCTCATCTGAAGCGCTGTCGCCAGTCTGCTTTGAAGCGGAAGCCTCATTACCAGCGGAGGCAATGGGGGTCGTCACTATTGTTGTCACACACACTGCCCAACCGCCCGTATCCCTCCTGTCCCTTCATCCCCACACTCACCAGAAGCGCTGTAGCCAGTCAACTTTGCAGCGGAAGCCCCACTACCACCTGAGGCCGTGGTGGGTTTGACGCTGCTAGCTTCTGCTCACCTTGTCTCTCAAGAGTCCTACTAATTGGTCATACCCACACTCACCAGAAGCGCTGTCGCCAGCCTGCTTTGCAGCCGATGCCCCGCTACCAGCCGAGGCCGTGGTGGGCTCTGACGCTGGTGGTTTGGGGGCAGCGGCAGTGGCTGCGGCCTGTGAGTAGGGGAGGAGAAAGCGATGGGTAAGGTTGAAGGAGGGAGGAGAAGGAAAGGTAGGGGTGAGGAGGAGGAGGAGAAAGGGACGGGTAAGGGTGATGAGAGGGAGGAGAAGGGACACGTAAGGGTGAAGAAGATGAGGCGTTGGGTGAGAGAAAGGAACGGGCAGATAAAAAACATCAGGTGTCAGGCAAAGAAATGAGCATCTGATGCGATTGCTCACCATGGAGGGTGGTTCGTCGTCGTTCTCGTCCTGCAGCTGCTGCATCAACGTGCGCTTGAACGTCTCCAGCTGTACACGAAGTTAAACAAAAAACAGGAAACAAACATTTAAAATCTGCAGAATATGACGACATTGCGAGGAACCTGAGGAACACGAACGGAAAAAAAGGCCTGACATTTACAATACTATACAAGGTAACGATTTGTGGATGATTGAAAAAGCGCTGGTAGAGAGAAGCAAGGGAGGACGCACCGTTGGGGGTTGCGACAAGCAGACAAGGCTGTTGAGAGGGCCACATGAGCGGTGCATAATGGGCAGTGTGAGGAAAACCTGGATTGAGGATGGGGGGAGGATCACTCACCTTTGCCACGTCACGATTAAGCTTCTTCACCATGGCGACAAGTGCCGTCTTCTCATTGGACAGCCGCGCCTGCCAGTGGCGAGAAACAACCCACGAACGGGAGTGGTTTGAGAAAAATGATGAAACGCTTAGAGTGTTCGTTCAGATGCACCTCGCAACAATAAACTACAGAGCGAATGGAAGGCTCGAGAAAAGGGCGGGAAGCTGTGGGAAACGAAGAACATCGGTACGAGAACGGTGCGAGACAAGATAGTCAAAGCACGCGGCATAATGCCAAGGAATATGATGGAAAATGAGGGTGAAGGAACATGCAGGAACATGAAGGGGAGAAAGAGGGTGATTCATTGAAAAGGAGAATGGCGGGAGATGATAGATGACGAAGGGGAGCAAAGGGAAACAAGGGCTATGCGGAAAAATGAAGGACGCGAACGCACCTGCTCCTGTTCCGACTTCTCGACCTTGTCGATAGCTTCCCGTAGGGAGGCCTCCAGACTCGAGACTTTCTCCTCGAGGCTCTTCACAGACCCTTGGCTCGCTTCGTAATTGCTGCGCATGCTACTCGACTCTCGCTCAGATTGCTGCGCATTCGCGGACATGGCTCTAACGGCGATGCTTCGCGATATTCGCAGCATTTCGAACGGATCGGCCGGGAGGAGATCGAGAATCTCCTGAGGAATGTCATCAACTCCGGAGACATCGCCTGAACCTGATCCCATCCTCAGGCTATTCAAAGCACTAATCTGGTCACCAAGGAGTGGGAGCGAGGTGTGTTTTCTAGTCGACTCGAAATACTATTAGGCCCTGCTACGCGCTACTACGGGCCACACTGGTGCCGGAGCCCTGGAAGCCTTAGACGCTTATACTTCAAATGCGTTCTCTGCGGTCAAATATCTGGAGACGGACGCGCAACGAGGGAAAAGAGGAACAAATGCTTCAACTTCATACTCATGATCCTGTGCCCTAACACGAGTAGCTGCTATCTAAAACAATGGCCAAGGTTAGCCCTAGGAGCATAGGAAGTATGACTTCCATGAAATGTTTGAAGAGAGGTGGAATAGGATGAAGTGTCGTTTGTTAGTAATCGAGGGGGATGAAATGAGGTGGAAAGTGAAGTGAAACCTGCCGAACAATCAATATCTATCGACCACCCTCGGTATTGGGTGAAGAAGAGGAAAGCCCAAGGTTTGAGGAGCCTTGGGATTGGTATGACATGGTATTGAAAACGCATGCCAAGCCTCTCGACTAGGCTAGGCTATGGGCAGGCTCCTGTCTAGGTGCGTGCTCAACCTAGATTTTGCCGAGCCGGGAGACATCAGCAACGATACGTGCTGGGCGCGAATATATGGTGATAATTGAGGGGTGAGAAGATGTGTGATTGGGAAAATCCCCGAGAGGTTGGAACATCCGCGACAATGGGATCTGGTCAAAATTGAAGTACACAGTAACATAGACAGAGTTCGCTCTCATATCATTTGCCTATCAAGTTGTTCTATCCATTTTGAGTTGCAATATATGGTCCATGAACATACATTAACCGTTAGAATGAACGCATAAATACAATATACGGATCTTATTTTACACATTCCCTGCGATCTCGTCATCTGTAAGATCGTTAAAGGTCTCAACATTAACACTCGCACTTTGAAGAATCGTATACTCGATAATAACCTGAAACAGAGAATACGATTCCAGATTAGCCCAATCAAAAGACCACCACAGCACAGGCGCGCACGCGCGCGCGCGCACAGACACACACACACAAATGTAATTGTAACTGTAACTCACCTCCATGTATGCATCCATTTTTGGGTCCGGTCCAAGTAGACGTGTATACCCATCATACCAGGGTGTGCCAGGAGCCCAGAGATAATGGAAATCTTGGAACATCCGGATGGTGTAGATCGCCTTCAACGGGTCAAAGAACCCTGGCGTTTTCTCATTCGTCGCAATGTACAGAGTGCGTCCCGGTGCAACGAACCTGGGAAGCTTCTCCAGTAAACTGGGTGGGATCAAAGCAAGGACAACATGGCAGGTGAAGCAAGAATGCACATATATATATTACAGGAGCTAAGGCTACTCGTTCACAGTAAAAAACGAGCTGTTCGGGGACCAGGAAGCATTGGCAGATGTTGGGGGGCAGTGGCTCACACAAATCCCATTAGAGAGAGGAAACATTGCGGAGCGAGAAGCATCATCAGCATTCGTGGCTTGAAAAATTCCCTTACGCGTCGGGACGTGTGTCGTGGTCGAGGTGCGGCCAGAACTCTGGGCGCAGCTTGTCGCCGCGCCTCACATGCACGGCATCAAAGTTGCCTCCATTCATGGAGGCAGAGATGTTTGCTGCCAGCGCCAGCAGCTCCGGGCGAAACCGAATGGCCGTCTCGCTCACCCCTGCCGGGGTGTCCTGGCGCTGGAGGGGGGAGGTAGGGGGTGGGGAAGAAGGTGGGGTGGGGGGAGGTGAGATGTTTGCTGCCAGCGCCAGCAGCTCCGGGCGAAACCAAATGGCCGTCTTGCTCACCCCTGCCGGGGTGCTCTGGCGCTGGAAAGGAAAAGGGGGAGGGGGGACAGGGGGGGCAGGGGGATATACGGAAAACACATGGCTGTCTCGTTCACCCGCGAGGAGGTGTTTTAGTGTGCGTGGGGACTGGGGAAAGTGCTGTGAGAAGGGGAGAATGTAGAGAGTGCGGAGGAAGAGTAAAGAAATGACATGGGATTTTGTAAGGGGGGGATAGCGCAGGGAGTGTGCAGGGAGTGTGGAGGAAGAGTGAAGAAAAGACATGGGATTCTGTAAGGGGGGGATAGCGCAGGGAGTGTGCAGAAAATGTGGAGGAAGAGTGATTCCAGCTGGAACCGAATGGTGGCTTCAACTCAACTACCAATAAGGGGGTGCTGGAGCTGGAAGAGGGGGGAGAGACGTGGAGAGAAAGGAGTGAAATTCTGTAAGGGAAGGTTAGTACAGAGAGAGTAGAGGAGGAAGAAATCTCGCTGAAACCAAACATAGAAAAACAGTAACGAGAATCACCCCCATCCCACCAATTCATCCCCACCCGTCAATCCCAGCCCAACCTCATGCGTCCCCAACCACACTCACCTAGCTCAGCCCATCTGCACCCATGGTTTCGCGGATAAACAGAGGAGTAGCTCCATCCGCGGCCATATGCGCATCCACCACACGCACGTAGATAACCCCCTCCCGCCCCGCCCGCACTCAACCGCACCCATCTGCACCCATTGCCACCCACCTTGCACGTGCTGAACCCGTAGTTGGTTTCGCGGATAACCACGGGAGTAGCTCCATCCGCGGCCAGTGCGGCCATGGGCGCCCTTTCATCCACCACACGCGCGCGGATAGCACCATCCCGCCCCGCCCGCATCTCCTGCACCTGCCACTCGCGCGCCCCCCTCAGAAAGCCCTGTAGCGGTGTGAAGGGCACGGTTCTGGGGGGGAAATAGTAGGAGGTGAAAGGGAGGCGGAAGGGAGGGGGGAAGGGGAGGAAGAAAGATAAACAAATTTGATAGGGCGCCCGCCTCTCCTGCGCCTGGCCATTCGTTCGCCCTCCTCAGAAAGCCCTGCAGCGGTGTGAAGGGCACGGTTCTGGGGGGGAAGAAGGGGAGGCGAGGAGGGTGGGAGAGGGGGGTTGGGTGAGGGGAGAAGGGGCGGAAGGGAGATGAGATGACTATATTTGAGGCGGGGGAGCGGGCGAGGGGGGAGAGTGGGAGTGGAAGAGGGGGGAAGGGGCGGAAGGGAGAGGAGATGACTATATTTGAGGCAAGGCCTGCCGCTCCTGCCCTTGCCACTCCCGATCCCCCTTAAAAAAGCCTCTGTAACGGCGTCAAGGGCGTATCCCTGGTTGAGGGGAGCTGAGGGAGGGAAGGGGAGGAAGGGGGATCCAGATCCCCCTTCAAAAAGCCTCTGTAACGGCGTCAAGGGCGTATCCCTGGTTGAGGGGAGCTGAGGGGGGGAAGGGGAGGAAGGGGAGGAAGGGGGATCCAGATCCCCCTTCAAAAAGCCCCTGTAACGGCGTCAAGGGCGCATCCCTGGTTGAGGAAGGGGCAGTGGGGTTCAAAGGAAGGGGCAGTGGGGGATTTGGGAAGAGGATGGATGGGAAGGTAGGGGGATTGGAACTTAACGTGAGTACGTGACACAGCTGAGGATGAATCAGGTGAGAGAGGAGGAGGAGAGCATAAACAGATGGGAATGAAAATAAGAGGGGGAAAGGGGAGCAAGATCTTCTCAGCTCAAGATGAGCACAGTGGGAGGGTGTGGTGTGGGTGTATCAGAGCAGGAAAGGGGAGCAAAATCTCCTCCAGGGATCACTCAAAGCCCAGAAAGGGACAAACAAATCAAACATGAAATGATTACCTGAGAGAGTCCAGGTCATGGTAAACGAAAGCCGGTAATAGAAAACAGAGAATTCAATACAGTAAATTATTTACCTGAGCGAGTCTAGGTCATAGTACACGTGGATGGATCTGATATGATGCATGCCTCCGCTGTGCCACGCGTTCACGCACTGAGTCATGTCCAGAATCAGTGTACGGTTCAGATACGCCGCCTCCGCGATCAGACACGTCAGGCTGAGGTGGAAATGCTTCACTCCAGCACAGTAGTCGCGTGAGCCGGTAATGAAGAGGTACCGGCCGTCAGGGCGGAAGTAATCCTGACGGCTAACCGGCAGCCACGGCGTTTCCCACAGCACAGAGTGCAGAACGGGCATTCTAGACCGGATCGCCTTGTCGTGCAAGAAACCCACGAACTTCGTGGAAGTTTCCAACTGCTTCAATCGAACCACGTCATCGTTCCGGACCGGTTCAAACCGCGGGTTCCTCACCCGCTTGCCGTTCTCGCCAACCTTTCCGCTAATTTCGTCGTCCAAAGCTGGTAACCCGTATTCTGACGTTTCTGATTCCAAGCCGACTCTAGTACTGTCAGCAACCACATTAGGACTAGCAACCCCTCGCGCTCCCTTTTTGCTGCGCCTGCTGCTGCCGCCAGATCGAGCCGCATCAGCGAGAAGGCTCTGCGACGGTGCTTTCCGAAACGACTGCCGCGTAGCAACGGCGCCAGCAGCAGTATGCTGCTTCTGCTGCTGAAGATTATTTTCCTGCTGCTGCTCCTGCGAGGATTGCGGGTGTTTCCACAACAAGATCCCACGATCCGACGGATCTACGAAGTCGAAGGGACGGCAGAAGGATGGGGGGGATAGGAAGGGAGAGAGGAGCAGGACGGCGAATGCCAAGCCGCGAACGGAGGAGACGGTGGAGAACGGGGAGAGATCGCGGCTCAATGCACGGAAATTCCGCATTTTCAGCGCTTCGGGGACTGTTTCTTCGATCGTATCGACCACTTACAGAGGTGACATTTGAGTCGACTGAAAAGCTACGGGAACGCCTAGACTGACGTAAAGTAACAGCACCGAGCCTAATGCCTGCTTAGTGAGGGAATATAGCAAGGTAATGCGTCAGAAATGGAGCACTGCCGGACATAGCTAGTCGCGCTCACTGTCTTGCACAACTGGGCGTCCATGGCTGTTCTACCGTCTCAACGACCCCAGCCTGTGGCCTGTGATAACTTCTTGAGGCGCCTCAGGAATATTGCTAGTCGGACTTAGTAGAGTCTTGAACGACTGGCTGTTCATGGCGGTTCTAGGGTTTAGGCTGTGATAACAGGCACGCGCGCGGGGCGCTCGTAATTATTCCAGACAGCTTTTCAGGTTTCCCATACTTACTACGTATCACTCAGTAACTTTCATAGCATGAGGCGACAACAGGCTTGCTTCTGGGGCAAGCTTGACTCGTGTGAATTTCGCTTTTCACACACGTGCCACGGTTATATCTGGTTTACTACGATAAGAAAAGGTTTAGAGTTATCATCCTAGGTGCTGTCGTGTGGAGGATTCGCTGTATCGCAGTTGATCAGCGGACGAACAAGAGCGACGCACGGTCGCATGCTCAATGTTCGCTTGGGTGTGGTGTGAGAAAATGTGCTCGGGTAAGGATAGCTGTTTTTGCGAGTTTGGCGTCGGTCTGATACGGTTACGGGTTACAGGTAGTCGGTTTGACCTGCACCATGTCAACTTCCCTGGCAGTGCACCCCACCACCGACCACTCGAAATTGACGAACTCTGCTGATCGCTTTTGGCAAGTGCACCTGTTAGAAAATTCATACCCACTATATAGCAGCTCAATACAGTATAGAATCGTCCAAGAATCACGCAGTTGGAACATCCAGCATGAACACCGCCACTCTTTATTTGTACGTGTTTCAGTTATAATGTATACGCTCGTTGTAATCCCACACATTGGCCCGGTTGGACTTCGCTTCTTGCCATTGGCTCGGTCTGCCAATATTCAGCCAGGAAAGAGGAGGCCATGTGGCACTTGGATGAAGCAATCAAACCCGCCTGATTGGCGTAACGCGCGTGCGTGGCGGGAAAGTTCCCGACAGGTGGTCCGAGGGTTGAGGCCTGGAGCGCGGATGGGGAAGTTCTCGAGGGTCACACTCACACATCACATCACAACTCTGTCTGGTCTGGTGAGTGACCCCCAGTCAGCATCATCCATGTCATGTCACCTCATGTCATTTGGTCATGGCTGGCACTCTTGATGTGTCATGTCATGACTGTTAGGACTTCTCTCACACTGCCCGCTTTTAGTCAAGATGCAGCTCTTTCGAGGGCACGAAGCAGAACGGAACGGAGTTGCGGAACACAAGCTAGCAACTGCTGGTCGGAGTGGTTTGGTTGATGTGCGACACGGATCAGCAAGCGATGCGATACGAATATGCCTTCAGTCAGCACCACTACAGCAGCACCCGTCGCACAGTGATTGTACTGTACAAATTCTTCGACTGAACGAAAACGAGCTTCAAACGAAAGCTGGATTCAGCGGCTTGCTTGTCCGTCAGTCAACGTCGGGAAGAAAGGAAGGAAAGGAACACTTTCTCGAATTCGGCAGCCACTTCAAGCACCAGTGAAGTGCACTGTAAACCAGAGTGGGGTGCAATTGACCGTATTCAACCCTACCGCATCTTTCTCCTGATTTATCCATCCCTTCTCCATTCCATTATACCCACTTGGACGTTGTGTGTTGATGCGGTTGGCTGAGATGCTGTAGGCTCTTTAACGGTTCATTGCTACTTACCAGTGGTTAAACAATGTCACCCAGCAAAAGAAAGCCCTTCCTCTTCATCTTTCCACCCTGAACTTTCTTTGTCCTGCCTGTTCTGTGACCATCCTTCAGCTGCTTCTGCTGCTTTATCCGCTAACCCTAGATCAGGTCTAGGAAATCATAGCGTATCAGGGAGTTTCGTGAATGTCAGAAAGCTGCTCTTTAAAGACGCCTGACACAAGTTTCCTGGTGCTAGTGTTATTAGTTTCACGTGGTGTCTTGAAGAGCACAAGAATAAGTCATAGTAACTTTGTATTTCGAGCGAATTGCGCGTGGCTCTCTTGTCTTCGTCTGAGCTGATGCTGAGTAGATGATACAATATTTCCTGCAGCTGGCATGTGTTCGTATCTAACTCAACGGGTTCGTTAAGCGGTACGGGCAATATAGGCTGGTCTTATGGGCTGTGCGGGATCGAAAACTAAGGACGATACGTCTCCTCCTCGACGGAGAGATGCATCAGAGGAGGCCGTTCCCGCTCCGAAAGTTGCACCGGACGATTTATCAGGTACCTCTACACGCTCGTGGTTTCTTTCGAAGCTTTCTGTGGTAAATTCCACGCTCCACTTAGTCTTACTAGATATAGTCATGGATGATTAGTTCGGCCGAATTCTGGGGAACATCTTGTTAGCTTTAAGCGTAGCTGCTTTTTAAGGGCTCAGAACTTTTGAGGCTGACTGACGATGCATTTGCAATATCATTTTGCCAGAATTCGGTGGATGTGGCTGTAAGGAAGAGTCACAAGAGTCGCACTTCGCAAGTAGAGCTTAGTTGATAATCCAGATTAGGCTAAGATCAGGCGGCTCGAATTCCTCAAATATGGTGGAACCGTTGACGATTCTCTTTAGAATCCCTGAGCTGCTTCAGTCAGACACGTCGAATCTTCCCAATGTTTCTGTCGTTGCTCTATCGGCAAATCCACAGTGAATATACTGTGAATGTTCTTTTTCCATGGTGCTTCATTTGCCGCTGTTTTTCCCCCGTCTGCTGACTCGATTGTTTGCAGATAATGGACCATTGCTAGCGCAAAGCCCGAAGATTAAAGCCCAAAGCGGCCTTTCAGAACCTAGTAGATCCGACAAATCCCCAACCGCGGCACCGGCAGATCAATTGTTATCACGAGACGATGGACCAGCAGCAGATTCTCAACGGTCAAATCCACCGACACAGGTTACCGGGTTACCACCAGGAGGTCCACCGGGGTTACACGGATCGCCAGCTGTTCCCGCGCAGGAGCAGTCACCGCAGAGCGAATTGGCAGCAGTGCCAGCGCCGTCGCCGGGGCCCACAGGAGCGCGGATTGCGGCTCAGACGTTCACGTTTCGAGAGCTGGAGCGAGCGACGGGCGGGTTCTCCGAGAAGAATTTTATAGGCGAGGGCGGGTTTGGTCGCGTGTACAAAGGGTGGCTGGAGTCTACAGGTCAGGTGGGTGCCTAAATATTCCAACAGGGACGGCTTATGGAGAATGACTGAGTGTGATGAACGGGGCGGATAGGTGCAGGGCAATTGGGAGTTCCTTGTCAAAGTGCTCATGCCCAGCCTGCTGCACCATCCGAATCTGTCACGGACCTTTTTCTTTCTGGTCCCTGCCATAACCTGTCAATGCTCCTTTCTGTTACCCAAACAGGTGGTAGCGGTGAAGCAGTTGGATAGGAACGGCGTGCTGGGCAACAGGGAGTTCCTGGTCGTGGTGCTCATGCTGAGCCTGCTGCACCATCCGAATCCCACACGACTCTTTCCCGCTCTTGCCCCCCTTCCATGTGTGTGAACACTTCTTGGTGTTGCCCAATCAGGTGGTAGCGGTGAAGCAGTTGGATAGGAACGGCGTGCTGGGCAACAGGGAGTTCCTGGTCGTGGTGCTCATGCTGAGCCTGCTGCACCATCCGAATCCCACACGGCTCTTTCCCGCTCTTGCCCCCCTGCCGTGTGTGTGAACACTTCTTGGTGTTGCCCAATCAGGTGGTAGCAGTGAAGCAGTTGGATAGGAACGGCGTGCAGGGAAATCGGGAATTTCTGGTGGAGGTGCTCATGCTCAGCCTGCTGCACCATCCGAATCTCGTGAATCTCATTGGCTACTGCGCGGACGGCGATCAACGGCTGCTGGTGTACGAATTCATGCCACGTGGCGCCCTTGAGGACCATCTGCATGGTGAGAGAGAGGGAGAGTAAGTGCGGATGGTGTGTTGAGAAAAGGAGGAGAGGAGTCAGGACGAGTTCATGCCACGTGGCGTGCTCGAGGACCATCTGCATGGTGAGGGTGGGAGAGAGAGTGGTCAGTGCGGACGGTGTGATAAGTGGGGCGAGCAATGAGGAAGGAGAGGACTGAGGGATGAGGAGAGGAGTGAGGGAGGAGATCTCTACACATTCGACTTGCCCCGCTTGACCCGCTCGCCCTCCTCCCCTGCCTCCTCCTCCCCTGCATCTCCCCGCACCTCCTCCCCCGCTCCCCCCCGCCTCTCCCCCGCCTCATCCCCACCTCCTCGTCCGCGCTCTTTCCCTCCCTCCCATTTCTCCCTCCCCACCCCCCGCCATCCCCTCCCCCTCAGACCTACCTGAGGGCAGGGCGAGTCTGGAGTGGAGCAAGCGCATGAGAGTGGCAGCAGGGGCGGCCAAGGGCCTTGAGTACCTTCACGAGGAGGCTTCTCCGCCCGTCATCTACCGCGATTTCAAGTCCTCCAACATCCTCCTCGACGAGAACTGGCACCCCAAGCTCTCGGATTTCGGGCTGGCGAAGCTGGGGCCTGTGGGGGACAAGACGCACGTGTCGACGCGGGTGATGGGCACGTATGGGTACTGCGCGCCCGAGTATGCGATGACGGGGCAGCTCACGGTTAAGAGCGATGTGTATAGTTTCGGAGTGGTGCTGCTGGAGCTGATCACGGGGCGGAAGGCCATTGACAGCTCGAGGCCGCATGGAGAGCACAACCTCGTTGCTTGGGTGGGTGTTTTTGGTCGTTGCCCTTGTTGCGCAAGGTGATTTGGTGTGAAATCCCCCCCTCTTTGTTCACTAATGCATGCGAATGCTGCACGTTGCGTGAGTTTGCGACTGTCATGTCCGAGAGCTTCACAGATTGTGAGATTGACAAAGCAGTTGGCGGCCCTTCTAATGCTGCGCCAATACCCCGATGTGAGGACTGTA